CAGAAGACGTCTCTGAGTTCTCCTCCTGCTTCGTGTTCTGGTTCCTCAGAGCAGCAGGACGGACTGACCTCGGTGGGTGAAGACTTCTTTGTGGTCCAGCAGCAGACGGTTTGAAGTTTTCTAAGTTTGCTGCTGCGGGTCAGAACTCCAACAGAAACACTGGCCTTAAAAACCAACGTGACCTTTTCATCCGTTTGCCGACGACTATTCAGACGCTCATCTTTTATTCAGCGGAGCGCCGTTTAGCTGCAGCCATTATGAGCGATTACACAGAACCCTCTGGTTCTGATCACGGAGAGTTCTCAGGAAACAAAAGCTGCTGCTGCGCCCAAACTTTAAACACTGCTCGGCCCGCCGCCACAGAACTCGGCCATTCACAGACGACAAAAGCGTCTCGCTGACTTCAGCCCGTTTGACAAACAGGCCGGTCCTCGACAGAAACTCCCGCTTTTGTTCGGCGCCTCAAAGTAACCGCGAAGCCTTCAGACGGGCGGCGAGGCGTTCGGGCGTCGTCACTCAGGCTCGGCGCCGCCCAGACGGATGCAGATCGGCCCGGCGCTGACATTTAATAAAGGCTTTTTTATTTTCTGCCGGCGACCCCCGTCTGGGAAAGATTTCTCTGAGCTGCACAAACCGGCGAAATGGTCCCAGCGGGGCGCCGAGCAGAGTGGGCTTAATTTCATTTCTTTTTTAAAACTCAACAGCAGCAAATTAGTCCGTCAAGACGCCGCCTCGGTGCTCAGATGGATTTACAGGAAGGAAGGAAGCTGCAGGCGGCGCTTTGTGTCGTCTCCGGGCCTTGTTGTGTCGTTTTAGCGTCTTTTGTGTCATCTTTGCTTGTGTTTGTATCGTCTTTGCCTCGTTAGCAACTTTTTGTGTCGTTACTTTGCCGTTCAAACTTCTTTTTGTGTCATTGTTTCAGCTTTTTTTGTAATTTTTGTGTCATTTTAACACATTTTTGTATCGTTTTTGTATCTTTTTCTCTCTTTTCGTGTCTTTTTTGCATAATTTTTGTGTCATTTTAACATCTTTTGTGTCATTCTGTGTCATTTTTGGGTCTTTTGATTCACGTTTGTGTCATTTTAGTGTCGTTTCCTGTCGTCTTTGTATTATTTTTGTGCCATTGTTGCACCTTTTTTTTTTGTCATTTTAACATCTTTTTTGTCATTTTGGGGTCATTTTAACACCATTTTGTGTATTTTTTTGGGGTCATTTTGCATCATTTATGCCTCCTTGTGTCATTTAAGTAACTTTTTGTGTCATGTCTCTTCTTTTTATCGTCATTGTTGGGTCTTTTGTATCACATTTGTGTCATTCTTGGGTTTTTTGTGTCTTTTTGTGTCATTTTTGTGCCATTTTGACGTCTTTTGTGTCATTTTGCCTGTCTTTATTGTCATTCTTGGGTTTTTTATGTCACGTTTGTGTCATTTTTACATCTTTTTGTGTCATTTTCTGTCTTTTTTTGACGTTTTGGGTATTTTTGTGTCATTTTAACATCATTCTGTGTATTTTTTTGTCATTTTCCATCATTTTTGCCTCCTTGTGTCACGTTAGCGATCTTTTTTGCCGTTACTTTGCCATTCAAACATCTTTTTGTGTCATTTTGCTTCTTTTTTTTCCTTCTTGAGTCTTTTGCATCACGTGTTTCCTTCTTCCATCATTTTTTCGTATCTGTTTTTTCATTTTAACATCTTCAGTGTATATTTTTGTATCATATTTGTGCCGTTTTGCGTCTTTGTGTGTAACTGTTTGATCTGTTTCGTCATCTTTGGGTCTTTGTGTCCCATTTGTGTCACTTTAACGTCGTTTCACATCATTTTGGGCCTTCGGTGTCGTGTTAACATCGTTCTGTGTCCTTCTAGCAGCAGGTAGCGCTGAATCGAAGGAGGCGTGAATTAAACCGAGACGCCGTGAATCTGAGTCACCGATTGATTTACTGTCAAAAAGCTTTAACGCTCATCCATCGTTTTATTTTTATTTATTTATTTATTTGTCTTTATTTTTATTTTCGGAGGTAAAAGTTTGCTTCTTAAACAAAACAACAATAAACGTGTTTCATCAACAAATAACAAACAAGGAGCACAAACGAGTTCTGACCACGACAGACGGAATAAAGGATCAGTTAAATAAAACTAAATCCAGCACCAATAAACTTGTGTTTTAGTTCTGAACGTTCACTGCAGTCGCTTCGTTTGAAGTCGTGTTGTCTTCAAGAAAAATCATGAAAGTGTCGCCGTTTATCAGCCGGAAACCTCAAACTGTCCAACATCTGTGACGTACAGCTCCAACATCAACATCACTTTATTCTACATTTAAATGGTTTAAAAATAAATCGTTTGCTCGAACCAGATTCTGTCAAAAAGAAAAAATTCTGCACGTCTGGACAAAATCAGAAAGTTATGAACGAGTCGGCTGCGACCGACAGTCGGGTGACAAGAATTCAGAGAGTTTTGGGTTGAACTGCCGACAGAGGAGACAAAAAATCAAACTGAGCCGTTTAAAAATGTGCCAAAAATCAACCGTTTGGTCAAAACAGATTCTGGAAAAAGACAAAAATTCTGCACTCGTCTGTGGAAAGACGAAGCCTCGACCGGGTGAGCTGAGACCAACAGTCGGGTGGTCAAAATTCAGCGAGTTTTCCTGCATTTTTAACCGATGGGACACATCCGGGGCTCAGAGCAGCAGGTTCTGTCTGGGTTTTGCTCTGGTTCTGTTCCCGCTGTGGGCTCCTAACTCTAATCAACACGTCCAGAACAACGTTAAACCTGAAACGACTCAGTTCAACGAGTCAGAACCTCAAAAAACTGGAGCTTCTCTGATTCACCACAGTTTATGTTCTGTGATGTCAGAACCTGAACAGATGGAAACGTGGAGCCAAGACTGGATTTCAGCAGAAATGTATCCACACATGTATTTGTTATCGACGTACAGGAGCGTTCTGTGGATCAACACCAGCCTGGAGTCCAACAACAACGTAAAACTTGTTCAAAATGAATCAGAAGTTTGAGCAAAAATATCCAAAATCATCCGTTTTTAATTATTCAACACGGCTGTAATTTAAACTAAAGAATCTGAATCCGTTGTGGAAACACGTCCTGAAGTTCAACCAAAACAGTTTTTATTTATTTTTGTGGGTTTTTTTTGTCTTTCTTGCCCGACGCCTCAAAAGCTCGTTTCTGCTCCGACGTGTCGAACAAACGATCGGCCGGATGCCAGTTTGACGAGTTCGTGGACGGAGAAGCCGACAGCGTTTGCAGCTCAGGTCTTCTGCAGATAGCAGACCATCTCCCTGCTTCTGAATCCCGTCCGAGAACAAACGAGGAGTCGAGACAGAAAGCGGGCCGCTCTGCCAGAACTCTGCAGGCAGAAACCCAGCAGAGCGGGTCGTCGCCAGCAGCGGGTTCGTCTGCTGAAGGAAAGCAGCCTTGACTGATGGCGGGCGGGAAGCCGAGCGACCAGAAGACACATCAGGTGTAAATTACAAAGTAAATGGCGCCTGAATCCCATTTAGCTGCTCCGACCTCTTCAGCTTCACAGACAGACCCGACGTTCACGTGTTCTGTCCCACACGCCTCGTTTGAACGCTCGCCAAAAACAAGCCGCTTGGTCCAAACGGATTCTGGCAAAAACAAAGAATTCTGCTCCTGGCTGCGGCGACGCGACGCCTCGAGTGGCTCGGCTGCAACCGACAGTCACGTCACAAAAATTCAGCCGTTTTTATTTGAATGATTTTTGACCCGAACTGCATTTCAAAGTTCGACTCGTCTGAACGGACTCATGTCGGCGCTTCTACGAGTCAAAGTGAGAAAACCTGGAAGCTTCTCTGCTGTAATCACCAGACATGATGTCAGAACCTCAAATATCAGCCACAGACTGTGTTTTAGTGGAAACATGGATCCATCCGTTAAATATTTTCCCCGTTTCCAGGGCCTTGAATTAAAACGTGGGCGTCGTTAGTCACTCCGATCTGCTGGAAACCGTTTAGTCTCGTCTAAATATGACTCACAGCTCTTCACAAATGGTCCAATATGGATCAAAAACGATCAAAAGTGACCAAATGACCAAAACCAAACGGTCAAAATAACTAAAAAACGTTCCAAAATCACTCAACAACTCTTTCATTCATTCAGAGCTTGTGCACATGTCGACAGTTCGGCGTTAAAACGACCAAAAACGTCAAACTCAGTTGATTTTTTTCCAGTTTTCGGGGTCCAACAATTAAAACAATGAACCTCTAATGAGTCGTTTCACGGTTCAGATCCGATGAACACGATGTGGTCCGAGTCTTCGCCAAACTTCCCGTCTGTGGGAGTTTTATTTTGGGAGATATTAAACCTTTAAAATGGCTTCTGGGGAAAAATTCAAGCTCTGACATCATAAAACTCTTTAAATTCAACCGAAGACATTTGACAGAACTCGGTTTTGGGTCAGAAACAACAAACAGGTGACGTCCCACTGAGGTCTGAGGTGGTTCTGATGGTGAATCGGGTCGTTTTGGTGCCTTTCCTTCAACATAACACGACTGTTTAAGTTTGCCGGCTGGTTCTGGGTTCAGACGGTTTATAATTTAAACCGGGCCTTCACCAGAACGACCGGGTTGGTGACAAACAGGAAGCTGTCGCCGCTGCGGTCCGTCCAATCAGGGAGCAGGAGTGAAAACAGCTGGTTGACGTGAAACTGTTTTTCTTTTTTTATCTCCAGACAACTTCTACAAGGTGGAGGGAGCCAAGGACGCCTTAATCTGCGGGAACAGCAGCGACGCCGGGTGAGTTCTCGCTTCTGTCGAGTCAGAACGCTGTGGAAACGTTTGGATCTGGTTCTGGTGTTTGGCTGCTTCCTGCTGCCGATCATCCTGGGATGTTTCACCTCAAAGGTCGTAGCTGTTGCTTCGTCTTTGGCGAAAGACGTTGGTCAGACGTTGGTCCGATGTTAGTTAGACGTTGGTCAGACGTTAGTTAGACGTTAGTCAAACGTTAGTCAGACGTTGGTCCGATGTTAGTTAGACGTTGGTCAGACGTTAGTCAGACCCGCTGTGATTGGTCGGGTTGATGTCGGGATCGGTTTGGACGAGTCTTTAGTTGTCTTGACGATGAATGAGTTTGTGTTTTTGTCCAGTTCTGGAGGGTTTTTGAGTTGATTCGACTCATTTTGGACAAATTTAGAGTAAATGTGTTTAAATGGGTCCACGGTTCTACTAGAACCCGGTCTCTGCTCGACGTTTCACCAACCGTTGAAGCTCCAACATCAGTAGAGCCCGATGTGGTGACGTTGGACCAGACCAGGTTCTGGTTTGTGGTTATTTTGAGCCACTCTGGACCATTTTGGTTCCATTTGGGGTCACTGCTGAGCCCTTCAGAGAAGTTCTGACTCATTCTAATGATGGTTGGAGTTGTTTCGATGAGTTCTGAGGACTTTGGACACATGTTGAGCTGTTCTGAGGACTTCCGGAGTCGGTTTTTCAGGCTCTTTGAGACGCAGATGGTCGATGGTGGTGCTGATCCACAAAGTTCCTGTCAGAGTCCATCTATGGATGGATCCATGGTTCTGCTAGAATCCAGTCTCTGGTCACGTTTCACCAACCGTTGAGGCTCTAGCATCAGTAGGACCTGGTCTAACAAGACAAGGTTCCAGTTTTTGTGATTCTAATGTGTCAAAGCAGCAGCACGAGTCCATCGGGACCGGTTTGACGTCACTTTGAACCATTTCTGAGTCATTCTGGACGAATCGGGATTCGTTTTCAACAGATTTCAATTTGTTTTGTACAAATTTAATGTCAGTTTTAGAGTTTTTCATTAGTTTTCTACAACTTTTGAGTCATTTCGTAGAAATTTCAAATCCTTTTGGACACATTTTAATTTATTTGCAACAATTCAGTCATTTTTCCACAACATGAGTCCATCTAGACCAGATTTGTGTCTGTTTGAATGAACTTTGGACCATTTTTGTTTCATTCGGGGTCATTTTTAGCTGTTTAGAACAAATCTTCAATAATTTTGGACGCGTTTGAGTCATTTTACGGGGGTTTTAGTAAGTATTTGCCGGCCGTGCGTCCCTCTGCTGCGTGCCGTCCTCTCCGTGTGAACACAGTCGAGATGTTTTTGTTGTTGCAGCAGAAAATAACAAAAATGTGAAGTGAATTAGAAAAGATTTCTGTCTCCTGTTTGACCGCCGTCCTGCCGGTGGCGCCGAACAACGGCCCAGAAATCGTCCTTCAGGCCTTCTTCACGCCGCCGCCATCCATCAACGGGAGCTTTTATTTAATATCTACGAGCGAGGAAGACTTTCCTGCGGCTGAGGGGAAAGTTTCAGTTCAGCCGGTTTCAGTGTGTTCCTTCATCCCTGCTGCTGGAGGACGACGGAAACAGATTGAGCGCCGCTCGGTTCAGATCTCATCTGGGAATCTGAACAAACAGCAGCTTGAGTCTTTAGTTCGGCAAATATTTTCCTCGGATGTCGAGCCGGAAATAATCTCACCGGTTGGGTCTGGAGGCGAAGTACCAGAAGTTTTTAACTAAATATTAGAGCTGGGCTGCTGACTGTGCTCCTGTACGAGCTCGCTGCTCACGTACGCCGACGCTTTTCTCTTGAATTTAACACAGAAGCATCATAAAGGTCCAAACGCTGGCTGTTCAGGACCTGTAAGAGAAAATAAATGAACAAAGACGCGTAAAATCAACAAAAAGTGACTTTAATTAAAAATAAAACAAACATCGAGCAGTAATTTATTTCTTTACAACATTTGCCAAATTGTTTTTACTGCATTTAAATCAGCAAAAATATGATTATTTAACAAACAATTTACTGCTTTTTGTGTATTAAAGGGTTAAAAATGATTTCATTTTTTGCATTTTTAAATAACAGATAATAATGAGTAAAACCACAGACGAAGGAAATGAACGGTAGAATAAAATGACATCGTTTTGTATTTAAATCAACTAAAATCGTCTTTATTTTACAGCATCTGCGTCGTTTTCACAGTTCATTCAGCTTCTCATTGTTTTTACAGATTTAGTTTTGCTGCAAGAACTAAATTAAAAAATAAAGATTTAGAATGAATCCTTAAAATATCAAATAGATTCATTTAAAATAAAAGCTGTTCTACATGTTCTCCTGTTTTTTGTTTGTTACTTTACTAACAATAATAACAATAATAACAATAATATTAATATGTAGTGAAATCACAGAGACGTGTTTTATTGACATGTTGAGGAAACCCTGCCTGCTGATCCTGTTTCTCGGTTCATGTCATCATAAAACTTCACTTCCGTTAAAAACATCAACATGTTCCAGATATTTCGCCGCTTGGCGCTTCGTTTTCTCTGCGGTCGACCCTGAACGTCTCGCGGCGCCTTCGCGTGTCGCTGCTGGACGTCGGCTGTCAGGCAGGACGAGGATCGGTGCTGACTGTCCGCGCTGAGAGCATCACGCTGACTGACAGCGCCATGACAACGCAGCATCACGCGGCGTCACGCTGCTAGCCCCCAGCTAGCCCCCGGCTAAGCTAATGGCGGAAGCACACAGCCGGCGGGCTAGCGGGGCGCTAAGCTAACGGCCGCGTGGGTCAGTGAAGGTTCAGGAGAACAGAGGAGATGCAGCAGATAGCTGATGTGAGAACAGTCGACAGGCATCCAGAGCGACAGACGCAGGAGGAGAAACGAAGCTCCGAGCAGGAACCAGACGTGGTTCTGTGTGCTGACAACAGAACCGGCTTTAGCTGCACTAAGAACCTTCTGGCCTCGATGAACCGTCAAGACAACGGTGCTCCAAAGAACCCAAGCAAGACTACGTTGTTTAGGGAACACATTTTCAACAGATTTGCAGCGTTTGTTCCGTTAGAACACGTTGAATGTTTTGTCATCAGAGGAACCGTTTCTGGTTCCACAGAGACCCGTTTGTCTGAAAACACACCAACAGAACCTCCAGGAACCTAAAACCGGGTTCCTCCAGGCAGCATAACTGGTGCTCCGAAGAGCTTTGGGTTTCTGAAGGAACCATTTTCCATAAGGTTCTGCGTGGACCCGCCTGGTCCAGGACCCGCTCATTGTTTACATAATTTGTCAGCAAAAAAAATAAAAAATTCAATGTAAGGATTTGCAGCGTTTGTTCCGTTAGAACACTTCCTGTTTGGGTGTAGAAGAGCAGAAGAACCAGTTTTAGCTCCTCAGAGAACCTTTTAGTGATCGGGTCCCCCAGTAAGGCCCAATAACTGCCTCTTTCAGGCACCAGAACTGCTGCTCCAGACCTTCCTGTGTGGACCCACCTGGTTCTGTTATGATAACTGGACTCGTGTTTGAGAAGTCCAACTTTGATTGGGTTCCTTCTGCTGGAACACATTTAGTATTTAGAGTTCTTGTCCAGACAGAAGAACCCGTTACGAGACGCCAGGTTCTGACGACTTCCTGCTGACACGGAACCAGCTGGTTGTTGAGTTCTTAGATGGAGTCGGAGCTCCGTTCACACGATGACTTTACCTCTGAGGGGCAGATGTCCTTTGTTTCTCCTTTTGCCCTCGACCCGGTGTCCTGAACGCTCCGCTCGCTGGTCGGCCGCTGGTTCTGAGGCTCTGGAGGCTTCTCTCTGGTCCTCAGAGTGAGTCAGCGGCCGGGTCGGAGCTGCAGGACGATGAGAGCGGCGATGACAGTGACGTTGATCATCGTGTTGTTTGTGCTGAAGCTGCCCTGCTCGCGCATGATGCTGATTGGCCGAGCCCGAGGGCAGAGGTCACTGAGCTAAGCCGCTGTGACATCCACCCCGACGCGCTGCAGCTCCACCACCAGCTGCAGCAGCATCACGCTGAATCACGGCCGCTCCGCCGGCCGGCCGGCGTAGCGCCTCCGTGTAGAGAACACGAGGGCTGAGATCAGCATCGTGTCACAGCGCAGCTCCATCAGGTTGGAAGAAGCTAATCAGGCCGAGTCAACGTCCGCCGCTAGCTTAGGCTGAAGAACAGAGAGCACGTTCTCTGGTCAGAAGGTCATCTTGTTCAGCTCAGATGGAGTCCAGATGTTTGGTGTGAACCTGACCAGGACCACCACAGTGAGTCCTGACAGTGAAGCACGGAGGTGGCAGCATCATGATGTGGGGCTGCATGAGGGCAGAAGGTGTTGGTGATGTTTCTAGAAGCTCCATGAATGTCTGACCGCAAAAACATACAAAATACCTGCAAACTGACAAAATGAGCACAAAAAGTTACACAATGATGTCAAAAAGATACAAAATAACGACAAAAAGATGCTAAACGATCACAAAAAGGTACAAAATAACCACAAAAAGATCCTAAACGACCACGAAAAGATGCTAAATAACCACAAAAAGATGCTAAACAGCCACAAAAAGATGCTAAATAACCACAAAAAGATGCTAAATAACCACAAAAAGATGCTAAACAATCACAAAAAGGTACAAAATAACCACAAAAAGATGCTAAACGACCACAAAAAGATGCTACACAGCCACAAAAAGGTACAAAATAACCACAAAAAGATCCTAAACGACCACGAAAAGATGCTAAATAACCACAAAAAGATGCTAAACAACCACGAAAAGTTACACAATGATGTCAAAAAGATGCTAAATAACCACAAAAAGGTGCTAAATGAGCACAAAGAGACACAAAACGACCATAAGAACACACAACGTGACCACACAGAGACGGGTCAGGTTATCTTCCCGTGGCCGTCACCAGGTGTCACCGGTGTGAACAGGTGATGTTGGGATGCAGACGGAGGAGCAGCGCTCGCCTCAGGACCGACTCAGAAGCAAACA